GTGGAAAACAAGCGAGGAAATTTTGGTTGCAAATTGGAAACATATAATCGATGCGTACTACAGTGATCAAACATGTGGAGAATTACGGGCTCTACACAAAATTACGGATCTCCACGTAATTCCGGAAAAAATTCAAAAGATGAAGGTGTGCTATGCGACACAAGTTTTGAGTCACTCAATGGCATCGACTATTACGCTATTGGTTAAATCTAGTAAATACAAATTTAAAAATAATTAACAGATTCATTTACAATTTAATTTTACAGCCGAATGCAGTTTAACACACGAGGCAATGGGAACAGCACGAATTATAAAATTTTTTGACAAGCTCTTCGACAGTGTAAATGGCAGTACTTTTCAACCACGGTGCGGAAAACCATTTTCTGGGGGCGTATTTAAATCTTCTGGTCATAAACATTTTTGGAAGGAAGCTATCAAAATTTTGGGTGATATGTATTTCGTCGATGAGGCCGGAAAAATGGTAGTACCTCCGTGTATAAAAAACTGGATTGCAACGTTAGAAGGTTTTGTGGATTTACATACAATTTTAGTAGAACAGGGCAGGTGCAAATATTTTTTACCTAGATGTTTAAATCAAGATGTTATTGAAAACTATTTTGGCAAAATCAGAAGCCAAAGAAATCGAGCAACTAATCTAACGGCAGCCCAATTTAAGGAAAGTTTCAAATCTCTATTATTACGCAATTTTTATAGTTCAAATTCAGTGGGCGCAAACTGTGAGAAAACGAACATACCGGATTTATTTCATATTAAAAGACTTGTGGATAAAAACATAAATCAACCTTCAGTAAATGAAACGAGTTACGAAATTTTAAACGTGAATATGTACATTTCAAAACTGTCTCCATATAATTTAGAAAAAGATCTTCATAAAAATATTGTTGGTTATGTGTCTGGCTGGGTTGCGAAAACATTAAGAAATTTGAAGTGTGAATATTGTAAAACCCAAATTTTAAACAATTTTTCGGAAGACGAACAATGTTACAAATTAATACGTATAAGAGAATACAATTGTAATAACAGAAAATTGCAATATTGTAAGTTAGATTTTATAAAAAACATTAACAGAATTTATAATATTTCAAGAATCGTTTTAAACAATTGTACATCTTTCGACAACATCAAAAACAAAATTTCGTTTATAGTATCTCATCATGTCAAATTTTCGTTTCATTGTGAACATAAGGAATTAATTGAAAATGAAATATGTAATAAAATTATATATTTAACAATTTTTACGTTTGTAAAAGGTTTGAATTTAATTTTAAGCGGTCGCGATACAAGAGTTTCCACACATAAAAATGCATTATATCAAAACGCTTGTATAATGTACCAAAAAAAATTAAAGTCAAAAAATCGTAGAAAATACTAATAAATTGTATATTATTCTACTTTGTGTTTTTGATATTATTAGTGATAATAAAAATAAAATATTAATTATAAAATATGCAGCAATGACGCATCTAGTAGTTCATGCTTTAGCACCGGCCACAAGGCACCAGGGGGCGTTTATTGAGACCAAAAATCAAGTGGGAGTTTGCATTCTATTTACGTAGTATTATTTATCTATGCGTATGCCTATACCATGTCTCCTTCTACCATGTCCCCGTACAACGTACTGATTAATACGTCCGTTTACTACCTTATCGACATCAGACTATTTTTACCCCCTTTCGTAAGGTACCGCCACTTCATAGTGAAGCGCATAGATAAATAATACTACGTAAAATAGAAAGCAAACTCCCACTTGATTTTTGGTCTCAATAAACGCCCCCTGGTGCCTTGTGGCCGGTGCTAAAGCATGAACTACTAGATGCGTCATTGCTGCATATTTTATAATTAATATTTTATTTTTATTATCACTAATAATATCAAAAACACAAAGTAGAATAATATACAATTTATTAGTATTGTCTACGATTTTTTGAATTTAATTTTTTTTGGTACATTATACAAGCGTTTTGATATAATGCATTTTTATGTGTGGAAACTCTTGTATCGCGACCGCTTAAAATTAAATTCAAACCTTTTACAAACGTAAAAATTGTTAAATATATAATTTTATTACATATTTCACTTTCAATTAATTCCTTATGTTCACAATGAAACGAAAATTTGACATGATGAGATACTATAAACGAAATTTCGTTTTTGATGTTGTCGAAAGATGTACAATTGTTTCAAACGATTCTTGAAATATTATAAATTCTGTTAATGTTTTTTATAAAATCTAACTTACAATATTGCAATTTTCTGTTATTACAATTGTATTCTCTTATACGTATTAATTTGTAACATTGTTCGTCTTCCGAAAAATTGTTTAAAATTTGGGTTTTACAATATTCACACTTCAAATTTCTTAATGTTTTCGCAACCCAGCCAGACACATAACCAACAATACTTTTATGAAGATCTTTTTCTAAATTATATGGAGACAGTTTTGAAATGTACATATTCACGTTTAAAATTTCGTAACTCGTTTCATTTAGGTTGATTTATGTTTTTATCCACAAGTCTTTTAATATGAAATAAATCCGGTATGTTCGTTTTCTCACAGTTTGCGCCCACTAAATTTGAACTATAAAAATTGCGTAATAATAGAGATTTGAAACTTTCCTTAAATTGGGCTGCCGTTAGATTAGTTGCTCGATTTCTTTGACTTCTGATTTTGCCAAAATAGTTTTCAATAACATCTTGATTTAAACATCTAGGTAAAAAATATTTGCACCTGCCCTGTTCTACTAAAATTGTATGTAAATCCACAAAACCTTCTAACGTTGCAATCCAGTTTTTTATACACGGAGGTACTACCATTTTTCCGGCCTCATCGACGAAATACATATCACCCAAAATTTTGATAGCTTCCTTCCAAAAATGTTTATGACCAGAAGATTTAAATACGCCCCCAGAAAATGGTTTTCCGCACCGTGGTTGAAAAGTACTGCCATTTACACTGTCGAAGAGCTTGTCAAAAAATTTTATAATTCGTGCTGTTCCCATTGCCTCGTGTGTTAAACTGCATTCGGCTGTAAAATTAAATTGTAAATGAATCTGTTAATTATTTTTAAATTTGTATTTACTAGATTTAACCAATAGCGTAATAGTCGATGCCATTGAGTGACTCAAAACTTGTGTCGCATAGCACACCTTTATCTTTTGAATTTTTTCCGGAATTACGTGGAGATCCGTAATTTTGTGTAGAGCCCGTAATTCTCCACATGTTTGATCACTGTAGTACGCATCGATTATATGTTTCCAATTTGCAACCAAAATTTCCTCGCTTGTTTTCCACACTAAATTTTTAGTAAGCAGATTGTTCCTAATACATTTAATTAAATGAGGCGTGTCATATAATAGAATAATTTCTTGATCCCCTAATAAAATTCTTCTTTTAGGTTCCATCCCTTTATGTATATAACGTTGTTTCGACTCCTTTAGCAGAGAATTTATAGCTGCTTGGTTTTGGTTGGCCTTGATCACAAATTGTAACCAGAATTTTGAATCCACAATTTTGTATTTTTTCAACCAGAGTTTTTATAATAGTTGGCAATATGTAAGATTTTGTAGACGAAAAAGAAAATGCAAAGTATATTGGCTGTTGCCATTTTTTAAACACTCCGCGAATGAAAAAAACAAGAACATGATCTGCTATCTGTAAATTTTGTTCAAATCCAAAATTTTGAAATCCGAAAAATGTATCCGTATATTTGTCATAGTCTATGTGGGGCATTATGGACATTTCATCAAAAATTAATGCACATATTCTATCTTGGTTATTTAATTTTGAAGCAGATTCTTTAAGATTGTCGAAAATTATTTTGTTTATACCAACGTCTACTGGAATTTTGTTCAACATAGACATAATTGTTTGACGTGAAGGCAGTGCAAAAATCTGTCTCATTTTTCTATAACATCTCCCAGACTGTTTATAAAACATTAATGCAAATAATTTATCTTCAGTGGTAAACCTGCGACCCTTTGGTTTGACATTTCGTCTTTTTAATTGTGATAAACAAAAATTTATAGCATCCTGACTTAAAATTTTGCTTTCTAATTTTACTTCAAATTTGGAGTATAATTTCAATCGTTGGCGAAACGAAGCTACCTTAATTTTGTTTCTACGGGCTGTACGCGAAATAGTCCTAGAATTTGAATGTAAATTTAGTATTCGAGAAGATTCTTGGTTTAAAGTTTCGTTTAGGGTTTCTCTGGAATTTCGAGATACTTCAGTACAAAATTTTTGAGAATCCGGTATAGAAATAGGGTTTACGGGATCATGGGTGTGTCTTTCGGGGTCGTTCATATTATCTGAAATTATTGTAAAAATTATCTATGGCATTCACTTGCACACAAATATTTACCATCATAATTTGAATTGTAGGAATGGCAGTATTTTTAAGTTTTTGATTGGGGCCAAAATCCGTTTCTTTAAAATGTACATCGCAAAGAAAATATCCATTTTTATATATTTTCGTGGGATCTAATTTGCCTAAATTTGGATTCCCTGTCCGTTCCAACCAAATTTTAAAACGCTCGTTGTATTTGTAGGGGTTGGGAAAACGATGGCGTTTAATAATTTTAGTGTTTAGACATTTCAAAACACTGCATAGTTTCATATTTTACGCTTTGTTATCACGTATAATCACACAAATGACACTTTTATACTAATCATAAATGACATTAGTTTTTTTATTGTTTCTTAAAATTGGCTGTGGAAGTTGTCGCCAAGTAATTTTTGGAAAAAAATACTTTACTGCTATCAGTGCTATCTCTTATTATGTGGCCGGTACATAAGCCTAGACACAAACCTGGGACACGCATTACAGCCGAGTTTGCATTCTATTTTACGTAGTATTATTTATCTATGGTGAAGCGAATGAGATGTAAAATGTATATTCATTCTTTTCTACATGGGAAAGTGATTGTCCGTATAGGTTGTCCAACTATAATATACTTAAACAAACAAAAATATTACCCACCCCGTGTTTCTGCACCGACACATTCGTCAAGTGGACATACATATTGTCCAGCTCCGCCACACTTGAGTCGTACTTAACCGTACAAAACCTGCAGAAACCCATCCGGAACTGGTAGGCTTTGAGGGGGCGAAACGACGTCACTAAAACATACAAACGCAAGTCGAACTTTTTCCCCCCGATGAGTAACGGGTTGTCTATGTATCTGCAACGTGACAGTCAGAAGTTAAGTCACAGTTTAAGTCACGCTAGTACTTAGAAATGACGTAACTCTCACGCGTGAGTTGCTGCTGGAACGGACCTTTGGATTCGCGGGACCACCGCTTCAGTTTCGACAGTTTGTTAATGAGGAAAATCCCGGAACCTTGGGACCGACCACACGGTTTCATGATCCAGGTGCTCTGAGGCGCTTTTCGGTACTCTTCGACGAACATGTTGTAGTCCGCAGGTAGTACGAAAGTCACCGGGATGAAGTCCAAGTGGAGGTACTTCGAGTCGCCTCTTTCCGCCAGCATATTACCCTCTTTTTCTAAGTCGCGTCTGTATCGCTTTATGTTTTTAACTAGTAGGTCTTTTCGGGAGATTTCGTAGTGGTTCGGGAAGTGGTTGATTAGTCTGAAATTGGTTTAGTACAGAGGGGGTGGTTGCTTTTGGGTACCCTACTGGTTATCGTGCATTCGATATCCACTGTCCACACTAAACAAACTCCGACAGGTTTGGGTCCCCGCCCAGTAGATGTTCCAGTCATCTTCAGGACCCACTTGAATCCACCCTCGTTTTTCGCAGTTTGCGACAACGACGCTCTTGTCAAGATCGGTACAAAACGTTACACGCATTGTCACTGCGAATTTAGTAAGAATGGGTTGACATTTATTTCTACCTTTATTGATCAAACTTATCGCTATGGTTATATACAAAGGACTATGGATTTAAATGCTAAACCAGCCGGGCATGTTCGGCCGCTCTTTGTTCTTGTCCATGAAGTCGCTAAGGCTCTGTTTCGCCTGCTCCAGAGTGGCTTCTTCGTCCTTTTTCGCCTCTTTGTTTTCCGGGAACAAGTTAGGGAAGACGAATTTTTCGTCCCTGGGCTAGAATGCGGGTACAAAAACGTGAAAGTGCGTTTTTAGTCTATTGACCTTATTTTATTAAGCAGGATATGAATTTATCGACATTTATAAAAATGTTGGTGAAACATCCTATACATGATAAGTTATGTCACAATCACAACAAAATTATCAAAACATCCAAAGCAATGAAACAATTACTCAGCAAAAACCGTATCATATCAATCAAAATCCCCACTTGTCTTAGATCGTTTCGTACCGCACCCAACCTCAAATACTGCACCCATCCCCCAAAAATGGCGCGCGTCCTCAAACTCAACAACGGCACCCAAATCCCCGTCGTGGGTTTGGGAACCTACAAGGTAAACCCCATCTCATCCACAAACCCCAACGCAATTTTAGTCGCCCCCAGGTCAAGTCCAGCAAGCCGTCAAGGACGCCGTCTCCGTCGGCTACCGCCACATCGACTGCGCCTGGTTCTACGAGAACGAAGCCGAAGTGGGTGAAGGCCTGCACGCCAAAATCGCCGACGGAACGATAAAAAGAAGCGACGTTTTCATAACCAGCAAAGTAAACACGGACATAACCTCAAACGTCAAACTTAACTGAATTTGCAGATTTGGAACAACCACCACGCGAAAGAGAAAGTCGTCCCTATGTTGAAAGACTCCCTCAGCAAGCTTAAACTCGACTATGTCGATTTGTATTTAGTTCATTGGCCGATGGGGTTCAAAGAGACGGCTCCGTCCTTACCTACTGACGCGTCAGGGTACAGCGACGTGGACTACTTGGAAACGTGGGAGGGCATGGAGGAGTGCGTTCGACTAGGACTAACCAAAAGCATTGGCCTGTCGAACTTTAACAGCGAGCAAGTCGAGCGCGTCGTGACAAATTGTAAAATTAAACCAGTGGTTAACCAAGTCGAGGTGAACCCCAACATCAACCAGAAAAAACTAATCAAGTTTTGTAAAGATCGCGATATCGTGGTCGTGGGGTTTTGCCCCTTGGGGCGCAGCAACTACGCGGGCCGCCCTGGATTCCCGTCGCCCACGATTCACGATCCTGAAGTCATCAAAATGGGTGAAAAATACAACAAAACGGCCGCTCAAGTCGTGCTTAACTATCTAGTGTCTCTGGGGGTTGTTGTGATACCAAAGTCCGTAACGAAGTCGCGGATTGAAGAAAATTTCGACATTTTCGACTTTACGTTGGATAAGAACGACGTGGCTTATTTGGATTCGTGTAACAAGAATGAACGATGCAGCCCCCAGACGGCGTACAAGGACCATAAATATTTCCCTTTTAGTATCGAGTTTTAATTAAGAAATAAACTTACCAGAGTAACGTAAGCGTATTTGGTGTCGTCGTCCTTTACTATGTAACCCTTAACAGGCACCCGTCTCGTTTCCCCCAGCGCTATTCGCGTCCGCACGTCGATCACTTTAATGTTATAAATTTTTTCAAGGTAATTCTGGATGTCATACTTTGTCATTTCCATTGAACAGGCGAACTGGACTACGTTTGGGGGCTGCTCGTGCGTCGGGCGCACGAGTTTGAGCCAAAAATTGGGCAGGAAAACGCGTAGCTGGGGGCCCCCTCTTTGATAAATCGGATACCTAAAAACCATGTTGACCCAAAATTGAAACAATACTAAGTAAATACCATCTTGTAGACATCTCTAATTATAATAAAGTAAAAAATCGCTGTTTTGTTACAAAAATAATAAAAACTTGCTCAGCACATAGTATAGGTTATGTTGGCGTGCGGGTTAAGCACCAACCTCAAAAACAAAAATCACTAAGTGATTATATTTTCGGACAACGTTCGACTAAAAATGACCTCATCGATTAATAGTACAAAAACTAATTACACTTTACTGACTGTTTCATTCTAAACAATTTTGTTGCTTTTCTTTGCGAGATTCCTTTTTTATTGTTCGATTTTTTGGGGCGATCGTTGCCAACCTCACCGTCACAAAGTTCCACTCTTTTATTTCAATTTTTCCCAGACAAAAATAAAGAAGCTCGATATTGATTAAAACTATTTTTATTCTCGACGATTGTCTGCTAGGACTTTTTATCAGTCTATAATTATTTTGAGCCTTAACTTCGCCGCTTCACGACGTCTTCCAGTCCGTTAAGTACTGATCAATGAGTGGAAACTAGGAACGACTATAATGACACTAATTGAGTAGAAAACAATTTATTCAAATCTCCGACAATGTTACATGATTAAATTATAAACGAAACTATGAAGACAATAGCTTAAGGTTAATTCACTTACCAAAGTTTCACAACTACAAACTGAAGTTTATTGCATCAAAATGACACTTTAACGTCAACAATTCCATTTTCGTACCATTATTAATAATTTCCGTCGAGATTAATGCATCGTGATGACCTCGTCTGCGACTGCGACACCCTTTTGGACGCAGATAATAAACTCAGACACATCAAATGTAAAATCATCAAACTAATGACGGATCAAATGAAGCAGACCAACCATTACATCAATTTCATGGTCAGAACTGACCCTACTTGTTTCCAGCGACGGTTTGTACATAAAAAACTACCTAATCTGTGTTAATCCCTAGTTTTTAGACGATACCGCACAAGGTTATGCTCCTACTGTTTATACCTCGCAATAGTTTTAATTATACTATTTACAACTTTTATGATTGGGACTTTTCTGGGGGCTGCTTTGTGTGGCAGCGACGCAGCCACTGGCGGCGGCTACGGTATATTTTAACCCTTTTCCTAAAATTTACTGGTTAAGGTGCAAATAAAGAAATAACGAAACGAGAAAAGGCGTTTGTTTAAAAAGTACAGAGTATTACAGTAAAAAGACAGAGATTACCAAATTTAGTACACCTTTCTCTCAAAAATCCAACTTCAAACAAAATAAATACACTGTGAGCAACATGGCAAAATAAAAAAGCGACTTGCCATGAGTTTACTTCTCCTCACACCACTCGTTCTCCTTGCGCACTTGCTCCTCTTCGGACGCAGTGAAGTCATTCTTGATGTTAAAAGTCTTACGGATCTCCTCTGGAGCCTTCCCCTTGATCATGTTAGCTACCGTCTTGCACGTCACGTCGAGCAATCCCTTGATATCCAAGTAGTTCGCTGCCAAAATCAGCTCGAACAGAGTCCCCTGATCAACCTTCAGGAAATCGGCGTCCCAGGAGGAGATGTCGTCGGTGCGCTTCTCCTTGTTTTCGTCGTCTTCGGGCGGCGGTGGGTCGTCTTTGTGGTAGGTCGACCACTGGATCACTTTTTTCAAAATCGCGGAATTCACGTTGGGCAACGGGACGACCTCCTCCTCTTCTTCGTCCATCCCGAGGTCCTCCAGCATGGTCTTTATGGTCACCGAACATTTGGCGATCTCCACGTCCACCTCGAAGGTTTCCCCGTCGGAGGAGCGCAATTTTATGTTCGGCATTTTTTATTTTTGCTGCTTTTTTGCTTGTTTTGTTAGTGATGAATGACAATGAGCAACTGGGAGACGGGACTAATGGCGGATGACGGATGGACTGTCAAAGCGACGCGCCAAATTCAAAATCGGAGCAGAATTTCGAAAATTGTGCAGCTGCGGAGCGACACGAAAACTGCTAACAACACACACTCAAACAATGAATCGAATCCGCTGGATTTAAGTCAAAGATCGATGAATTTTGAGTCACGAAAGTGCACCTGCGCAAACGTCACCCAGACGCGCCAAATTCAAACTTAATTGTTTATAATAAATAGGGTCAACCTTCACAACTGAATTGCGGAAGTTTGAAACTCGTGCAGATAATATGATTAGTGTGTGGTTGTATTACATGCGAAAATTTGCACATTTGTTGGATCAAGTCGAGTGTCTAAAGCCGACTATTCGTGTTAAATTGGGTAAAATAACAACTTTATGGGTTTGGAGTGAGAGTCCGCGAAATGCGCAAGACGTCGCTCTAGATTTAAAAGAGGTGGCACCAAGCTCAAGAATTGGAGTCTCCAACAGCTCGTCTTCGGCTTCCAGTCTCCAGAACTAGCTTCCACCTTCCAGCAACAATGGTAAGCCTTTCTGTGCTTTACACACCAAAATAACAATATTTATAAAAATCCTGACCTTCCTCACCGCAAAAATTTAAAAGTCGTCACGCGCGCTACATAAAAACAACAACAATCACATCTGATGCAATATTTACAAAAATTGTTTGAGCCTTTCGACTTTAAAGTCGCAATTAGCGCTTCGAGAAATTTTTATAGTCGATTGTTATCGCGACAACTTAACTTTTCAAGTGTTTTGTTATCACGAACGAATTCGAAAATAAATCGTTATCGGGGTTGTTTTCCGTTTTAGGGCTTCGCGACAATAAAGACATCCATTAAGGACCACCGAATGGTTCTGTTGTTATTCGCAGTCGTCTTCTTCTTATCAGTTCAAGAGACCTATGGAGATAACAAGAGCTCCAATATTCTGAACCGGAATTACTGCAGGTATTTTGAAAATAAAAATGTTTGTTTTGGTTAATGTTGAGTTTAGGAACCACATTTTCTCGCCGCGGTGCCGCGGACAGCAAAAAAGGGACGTCATGAGCCGCCCTAGCGAGGAATACAGGTACTAATATTAATTAACCAATTAATTACTAATCAATTAATAATTAATTATTGTTTGTAAAGGTTACCCGTAGTGGAAGACTTCTCCGGCATCGACAGATCGCGCGAAATCACCGCAATTCTCAACAGCCCCACTCTCCTAGGCGAACTATTACGAAAAATCGTCGAAACCCCCGAATACGAATCCGACACAAGCAACTACTTGAAATGAACGTCTCCAACAACCAACAGTATTAATCAGTATTCCTATTTAATAATTTATTTATTTATTGCTTAAAATATAACTTAAAACCTCCGTTCTTTCTATGAAACCACCCTATGCATAAACTTTTTAGAATACTCATAAGCCACAAAAAGAACAGCTGTAGCGGGTATAGTCCGCACCAACGTGGGAGTCAATCCGGTGTACAGATGCCTAAACCCCTCGCGCCTCCAAATGTCAAAAATCACCCTAATCATACCAGCATTAGAGCTTGTCACTTGAATTCGACTTTTAGCGACATCTGCCGGGAATATTAAAGTCCAAAACGTGAACCCGCCAGCGGCCCCCGCTACCATCGTCTTGAACAAACCTATATCGTCCTTGGACTCCCCTGGACGCGTCAGTAGGCTCCTCACACCTACCACACTCAAATAAACAAAAATCACCAACCAGAAAAAACTCACCTTCATACGCCCCAAAAAAGAAAAAATACCCCGGCATTTCCCTAACCAAAGTCGGCACCAACCCGTGGAAGAACCCCACGACTCCCTCTTGTCTAAAAATCTGGGCTGACAATGACCATAGCGTCACACTTTTGACTTTGACCCCTTCCAACGCTTGCTTCTTCTGGACTTCGTACATGGCTTGCAGCTTACACTTGAGTAACTCAGGCGGACAAATAGCCACCGAGGAGAAAAACGACGCCAGAAAACCCGCCGTTGCGTTCTCCAGCGACGACAATTTAGTCACATTTTCCGCCGACGAAAAAGTGAGGATGCCCTTTTGACACAGACCGTAACAGAAGAAGAGGACGGAATTTTCCGTGATGTTGGCGGCTAGTGCAGGCACGGTTCCGGCGTACAGCCCCCGGTAAATCCCGTCGTGACGCAGCGTTTCCACAAAACAGTTGAACATGTTCTTGTACATGCTGGGGAAGGTCTGCATTTTGACCTTAACTGTATCGAGGGGCTGCCCCACGTACACCAACGCCGCGCCCCCTACAAATAAAAATTGTGTGACTTGAGTTTTAAGAGAGGGTAGTTTACCCAAGGAACCCGCGACGAAGTCAATAATGCCATCTTTGATGTTGCTGCGACGCTGCTCGGACATTTCTTCACCATGTCCAACGAATAACTGAGATTAGAGTTGTTTATGTAGCTGATAACACGATGATCCCGGAGCGATACGGTTTCGGGTAAAATTTTAAAAAGGTGAGGTTAGGTTTGGCCTTGACTGCAATGTGGCCACTCGAGATAACATTATCGCAATAAAAGCACTCCATTGTACTGGTCAGCGTACCGTTAGTTGTTGTACGATAAACAACAATTACACAATTGCGCAAATTACAAAAAACTGACATAACCTAGACAAAATTTTGCAAAATTGGGTCAATTTGGGGATTTTGTTGCTACGACTAGGGTGACATTAAATTTGACCTTGTCCCCGATTTTGTGCTATTTTGGATATTTCAATGTGAGGCCACCCCACGACCTTTACAACCATTTTACAACCACAATCGTGACAATTACGACCACTTTGTGATAACAACAACGCAAGTATTATCACACAAATCGTGGATTCGTTCCAACTTGGTGACTTTCCTGGCGTGCCATTGGCAACACATAATCTAAATGGTTGACGTGTAAGTGATGACAGCAACATAATAAACACTTTTTCTTCCAGTTAACATATTGTGGCCAAAATAAGGTAATAGTTTTGTTTTTTCGGATGTTGTGGTTGTTAACTGGGTATTAAAGGTAACCAAAATGTGGAAGGGTCCTGGGCAGGACCCCGGCGGAGGCCCCGAGACGGGGCCGCCCCCCGGCTCCAGTCAAGAACTGTCGGACCTCAAAGACCAGTTCGAGCAACAACAAGTCCTGATAGCACAACTCAAGGAAATGATACGTAAGAACGAGCAGAGCAACGTCACCCAGGAAAAAGTCGATGAATATATGAACACTCTTTCGAAGCGCGGGGGCAGAGCCAAGAAGCTGAAGCGCGACGACGACAATAAAAAAACAGCTGAGATTCCCGCCAGTCAGAAAATCAGTTTGTTGCGTCAACAAGTGGAGGAGAATAAGGTGCGGCTTGCGGAAAGAGGAAAAAGCAAGAAGGGGATTGAGGATATGGTGACACAGCTGAAGGCACAGTTGGACGATTCGCAGCAGTTGATTTCGCCGCTGAATTTGTCGCTGCAGGATACCAAGGAGTATAGTGAGAGTTCGAGCGCGCAGGAACTCTACACTGTGTTGTTGACTAAGGAGAAGCGAATCAGCGATTTGTTGGCCAATGTGCAAAAATTGGAGTCCAATGTGCTTGATTTGCAAGAGAACGTGAAAGAAAAAGATTCCGTGATTGACGCCAGAACGAAAGCGATTACTTTAATGACAGAGAACTTAAGTAGGAAAGGCAAAAACACCTTAGACGCTCTGGATGAAACAAAGGAGCAGATGAGGAAAATGCAGGAGAATTTCGTCGCTCTAGAAGCAGATATGAAGGCCAGACAAATGAAACTACTGGATGATTTGAGACAAAAGAACTACGAGATCGCGGAACTACAAGAAATTAACGGGAGTTTGGAGAAGCAGATGGAGGAGCTAAAAGAGACTAGACCCGCAGAAGACACAGAATACACAGAAGAGTTGGAAGGGTTAAGGGGTGATAATTCAAGATTAACAGAAACTGTAGCCCAAAAAGAGTCAAAAATCAAAGAGTTGGAGGAAAGCATAGCTGCGTTCAAACAAAAAGAGTCAGACAATACAGAAAGTGAGGAAATAAGTAAGCTTAAAAAGCAATTGGAAGAGAGCAATAAAAACATGATTAAAGTCAAAGCCCAACACAAGTCAAAAGTGAAAGAGTTGACGAAAAAAATTGACGCTTTTAAAAAAGTTAGTGACGTGAACGCCGAAATCGTCAAGTTTGAAGCGGAAAATAGCCGGCTTCAGCAGAGAATCGCCGAATTAGAAGAAGAAAAAGGTAGTTTGCAGTTGAAACTGGTGGAGTCTGATTCTGTTAAAGGTATAAATTTTTACCGCAATTTTTCGTTGTTATTTATACCATATTTAAAGGTTCTGAAGCACCAGAATATAAAATTGAGTTAGAAGAGAGAATCCAGGACCACGAGAGACAGCTGGAAGAAAAAGACAAAGTCATATCCATTTTAGAAGCTGGTGAGTGTATTTCGTTGACTATTTTGTTTTTGTCAATAAAATAAATTTGTTTGTAATCTTATCCACGATTTTGTAATTTTGTTGATGCAGAAATTTCCCGTTCGAAGTCCGAACTCGTCTCCCTAACCGAAAAACTGACCGCCCTTTCGCACTTGGAGAACGCCCAAGTCACCTCCGAGATGGCGTCGATTCAGTTCGAGGAGCAGATGGAGAGTCTCGAGAACGAAAAGAAGCAACTATCGACCGAAAACGACACCCTAGCCAAAGACAAAGAGCAACTGCTCGAGACGATCGAGCAGCTGAAGAAAGAAAAAGCGGAGATTTCGGGCAAGCTCGACCACTACATCCAAGAGAACATGGAGCTGATCGACAAGCTCGAGAAACTGAGCGCCGAGAAGGTCTCCTCGGCCGAGAGCATCGAAATCGTGGAGGCGCTGACTCAGCAGGAGAAGCTCGAGTTGGAAGCGTACCAGAAGAACTTGGATATGGTGGCGGGCAATCTGAAAACGAGCGAAGAGAATCTGCCTCAGGTTGATTTGAATGAGAGTGTTAATGAACTGACGGAAGAAACTTCCGAACTTTTGCAGAAAATCGAGTTGTTCACGGTGGAGAGGAGAGAGGTGATGGAGAAGATGGAGCAGTTGAAGCAGGAGAATTTGAGTCTGAGTTTGAAGATTAAGGAGATCGAGAATAACAGAGACGTGCTGGCGGAGACTTATGAACAGCTGCAAAGCGAGAAGGAGGTGTTGGATGCGAAGATAGAAACAGTAGAAGGGGAGAACACCACTCTCAAAGAGAAACTAAACCAAATGAGCGAAAACACGCGAGACGACGAAGACCAGTCAGCCAAAATTAAAGAGTTAGAAGATGAAATAAGCACGACTAGAAAAATTACGGAAGATTTAGAAGCGCAGAATTCGTCTTTGAAAGAAAAACTAAACCAACAAAACGAAGATCGTGAAAAAGACGATACCGCAAGTAAAGAAATCGAAGAAAAATCTTCCCGAATTCGTCAATTGGAAGACGAAATAGCTTCCAATAGAAACTTAGTTGAAGAAAAAGAGACGCAGTTGCACGACTTGACCCAACTAGTCCAAACTGCGCAGTCGCAATTAGACGACAGAAGCAAAGAAATCAGCCAATTGAATAACACCATCATCGACTTAAACCGCACCCTCGCCGACCTCGAAAACGACAACAAAAGCCTCCAAATGAAGATAACCCAACTAGAAGAGCACAAATCCAACCTGAACCAACTAATCGACAAAAACCAAGAAGAACTAGAAGCCATAAGCAACACAGAATGGGAGAACCGCCGCCTCCTCGAAAGCAAAGACAACGAAATCACCAAACTCATGAAAGAGCGCGACAACACCGAAAGCGTGATTCTAGATCTTCAGAAAACGATCCGCGAGAAAGACGAAACCTTCCACAAGATGACTTCCGACTTCAAAAACAAGTACTTACACCTGCAGAAGCAGTTAGAAGAGAACTCCGGAAGCCTCCAAAACATCACCGCGCCTCTGCAAGCCAAAATCGAAGAACTCACTTCCAAAAACAAAGAACAGCTAGAAAAAATGAAGAAAATCGCCGCTAACTTGAAGAAAAAAAATCAAGCGTATCAGGAACTCGAAGACAAACTTAAAGATAGTCAAAGTCGGCATGAAGTTGAAATTAAGACTTCGTTGCAGCAGTTGCACGATCTAGAAAGCGAATTCTCGCGGCTTCAACAACAATTGGACGATAAGTGTGAAGAAGTGAGGGTTTTGGAGGAGAAGAACGTTGATTTGCAGAACGTCATCACGGAGTTGAGGGTGAAAGTGGATAAGAGCAACGAAGTGAGTCTGCAGCAGGAGTTGCTGCTAACTAAGGAGAATCTAGGGAGTGTGGAGAGCTCCCTGAGGGCGAAAATACAGGAGTTGGAGATGATCATAGAGACTCAGGAGGGCGAGTTGACGAAAGTGCGCGATCGTTGCAGCCGACTGGAGGAAGGCATCTCCTTCGTGGAGGAAAGAAGGTTGAGTTTGGAGCGCAAAGCCAACGAACTGGGGGCGGAATTGGAGGAGAAGGCCATCACGTGTGAAGAAATGAGCCGCAGCGAAGATTTGTTGGAAAAGAGGTTGGCAGCACTGACCGCACACGACGAAGCCATCGAGAAAAAATTAGAAGACGCGGTTAGTGACAATCAGGAGTTGAATCAGCAGAATCAGAAGCTAGCGGCGAAGAACGAGAAGTTGAAGAAGATCGTAGAAGAGTTCAGAGAGAAAATACGGGATTTGGAGGGGCAACAAGGCGTCGTGGAAGAACTAGAAACACAGAACGAGGAATTGAAGAAACAGATTCACGTTCTAGAAAGCGACTTGAAGACTTTGCAAAATGAGTATGAAAAAATGGTAGAGGAAAGTAAGAACGACTTTGACAAAGTGAGTGGGGATTGGCAGGCGCAGTTCGAAGAAATTCTAACGGAGAAAGGGGAGTTGATGATCAAGTGTGAGAAGTTTGAAGAAGAATTGAAAGAAATCACTGAGAAAGAGCTCGGATTTAACAACGAATTGATCGAGTATAAGACGAAACTAGAAAGTAGCGAAGTCGAAATGCGGTCGTACGAGGAACAAATCCAGAGGTTGTCGAAGGAGAAAGAAGAGTTAGAGAAATTGAGAGAGACGGTGATTCAACAAGAAGACGTCATACGCAACTACGAAGAAAATATGTCTTCAATGACCACACAGAACGACGAAGCGAAGAAGGAACTTGAAGCCTTGAAACAAGCTCTTGTGGAAAAGGAAGAAAATATACAATCGTTGCGAAGCGAAAACGAAGATATAAAGACAACAGAAAGCGAATTGCGGAAGATAATCACCGACAAAGAATCCGATCTTCAAAATCTTCATAGACAACAACCGTCACACAATCTGGCGTCGTTCTTCGACACCGTACCTCGTGAAGATCCCGCCGTCACCCGACTCCAACAAGAACTCGCCTCATCCAGAACCAAAATCGAAGATCTTGAAAAGACCATCCAGAGTTTGAAGCCGACAGTTCCTGATTCACAACCCATTCCCACTTTCGTGTGGTCAGGCCAGACCAGCGATCCGTTCGATTTCATAGAACCCACGAAAGCAACCACCCTGAACGCCCCCCCACCACCCGAAAACACCCACCAAGACCTACAAGACAAAGTCAAAACTCTAGAATTCATGCTCTTCAACTCGGAAAGAGAAAAAGAAGACGCTCTTGGTCAGTGTCAAGAACTCACCAACGAGCTGACGCGCCTCATCTACGAAAAACAACAGAATGTAGAATCTCAAATATTGCAACCAAGTGACATTATTGACACCCCTGACACTTGCAAAGACCTGCGGAAGATCGAATTTGAAGAAACGCAAGCCCCGCAAGTGTCGTCATTGGAAGGAGGTCCGGTTGTTGAAGAGGTGGTACATGCCAAGGACGCATATTTGTGTTATGGCGACGACAAACAAGTCGAGTCACAGATCCTGTCAGAAGTTGACATCGCCGACACTCCTGCCACCCGTCGAGAACTCCTAAATCTCGAGTTTGAAGAAACCCAAACCCCGATTAGTAGCGATAGACCGGTGAAAGAGGAACCTTGTACGTCCAGAGAGGCGTATTTGTGTTATAACACCTTCGGGGAGAACGACGATGGCTGGGGTTGGGGTCCTGAAGAAGCTAAACTAGAGGAAGAACACCAAAGGAGCGAAAACGTCGACAGTTTGTGCACTCGAATCCGCGTCCTGGAGGCAGAAAGAGAGAACCATTTGGAAGAAATCCGACAACTGCAAGTGAAATCCGGGAAGTTGATCAAGAAGTTGAAGGAGTTTAAAGTGAAGAACGAAGAACTGAGTCAGCGGAAGAAGTCAGAGGGCGACTTATTCAACTTAGACGACGCGATTCAAGAGGAGTTGAAGCTGCAGATACAACAAGTGGAGAAGAAGTTGAAGGAGACGGCAGCCGAGTTAGAAAAGGAGAGGAGCGAAAAGGGAGCTATTGTAAAGAAAATCGACATCTTAACCACCGCCAACGAGAGAATGGTGGAAATGAAGGAAAAACAAGACATAGAGTTGCTCGGTTGGCAACAAAACGTCAGAGAGTTGAGCGCGAAACTCGAACGCCTGGAATGGGGGGACGACGGATTTGCCTCCGTCGACAAATCATCACCAGCGAAAATCAAAGTTGAAACCGGAGAGGGTGAACTTTTGGCCAAGCGGATCGAGGAGTTGAACGAAACCATCAAAGAGTTGACGCTCGACAACGAGGAGTTGCAGGCGCTCCTGGAAGAACAACGAGAACTGAGAATACAGGCGGAGAAGTCGACCAGTCAGGTGGATCCAGAGCGGGAGATTCTCGCCGAAGAAACGAAACGACTGCAAAGAGAGTTGCAAGTGAGCGTCGAGGAGAAGAAACAACTCCAAGACGAAACAAACGAACTGATTCGAAAGAACACCGAACTGAGTCACAAGTTTGACGACATCCAGAAACAGTATTCCGAGCTTGACGCTTTCAGAGCTACGAAAGACGATTTGATCGCCCAGTTGAACGCGAAATTGTCGGACGCGGAAGTCTCCCTAGAAAACGATAAAGATCGACTGGTACAAGAAATGGACTCCATTCGGGAGTCAGTGGAGACCGAAAACCACCAACTGTTGACAGAATTGCAAGAAAAGAACGTGCAAATAGAGGCTTTAATAACCTCTCAAGCCTCAACCGAGCAAGAAAAACTATCCCTCTTGAACGAACTCCAAGACAAGAACGCCCAAATTGAGTCTTTGAGGGCTTCAATGACCTCCCAAACCTCCACCGAGCACGAAAAAGAAGTCCTATTTAAAGAACTCCAACAAAAGAACGCGCAAATCCACACCTTACAAGAGTCCTTAGATGCAGACATCTCCTCCCTGAAGCAAGAACTCGACAACGAAATCAAGAAAGCCGAGACTCTCGTTCAGGAAAAGCAAGTCTTGAGTGAGACTCTTTCTGGAAAGGAGACGGAAATCGTGAGACTGTCAGCGGCTATGGAACAAATGACTCAAGAGTGGGATATGAGGATCGACCAAAGAGGCTTCGACGTTGCGGAAAGCTGGAAACTGCATTTGGAGTCCAGGGAGACCGAGTTTGCCCAAATCGAGACTCTCTTGAGGAAGGAAATCGGCGAACTCGAGGAAAAAACTAACGCGCTTGTCAACGAAAACAACGAGTTGAGGAAAAACGTAGACGCGGAGATTCGAAACGAGGTTGACAGGGTTGCCGCTTTGCAACAACAAATCAACGACAGGCAGCAATACATTAACGATTTGACGAGGAGTTTGCAGGAAAAACAGAGCGAGGTGGAAAAAATACAAGAGGAGTTGGATAGTACGAAGAAGGGTTTGGAAGATGAGAAAATGATCATAGACGCGGTGATCCAGTTTATAAACCAATCGAAAGAAGTAGTCGAACGTGATAAAGATTCTTTAATTAAAGTATATTCTGAGAAAGAGCAGACCATTCTAACGCTACAACGCGAGTTAGAAGAAACCAAATCCACCCTTACTCGTTTACAAGAAGAGCATTCCGCAAAACTACAAGAAGTACAAACTTTGGCTAATCAGCTCGAAGAACGCAACCAAACTATAACTGCACTCACCAATCGCGTCCAAGAGATGCAACACCTGAAGGACTACGAACACGAGAACATTGAAAACTTGCAACAAAACCTCCTAGACTATCAACAAATTAACACCAATATCAACAGTCAGCTACAAATGAAGAGCTCCCAGCTCGACGATAAGGAAAGAGAGATCGGGCGATGGAAACAAACACTTGATGAGAAAGACAGAGAGCACGCTTACGCTATCGAGAATCTGTCTCAAGAATATAGAGCTTCCATTAACGAACAGTCGCAGGAAATCGAGACTCTGAAGCGACGAATCGCGGACACCGAAAACCACTACGAAGAGTTACTTAGTAGTAGGGAAAGTGAGCTCGAAAGTGCTCGATTTGAACTGGGCAACCAATCAGAAACCGCCACGAGTAAAACTAAAGAAATTGACGCTCTCGCTGCACAATTGAGCGCCAAAATCGAAGAATGCGCAAGCTTGGAGGCGAAGATCAACGAACAGAGTGTGTTGATAGATGAAGAAAACCGACAGTTGAGTGAATTGAGGGGGATAATTGAAGAACAAGTTCTAAAAATTGAAGATTTGAAAACCGAGTTGTATCAAAAGAGTAATGATTATGATTCGTTGATTGCCGAGATGGATATCAGTCGTACCAACGTGAAAGCAACTGAACCATCGCGCCCGAAAGTTGAAGAAAACGAAGATTTAACTGAGCCAGTGAGTCGGGCCGAGTTAGATTTGGCGTTGTATATGTTACACCAGAGGGACGTCCGTTGCGAGGAGTTAACAGTCGAGTTAACACAGTTATTGGAAGAACGCGATACTCTTCAACTCCGGCTGTCCAATGTCATTCGAGAGAAAGAAGAATTGGGGAGAAAAATCAAAGATGTTGAGGTTGTTGAAGCCGCTGTTGCTCCTAGTACGAGTACGTCTGATAAAGTCAAGATGGAAGTGGCAGTGGAAGCTTTTGATCCTCTTACAACTAAGTAAGTTTTGTTCAGGGTGAGAGTGTGTTTGATTGGTGGGTTTCAGGTTGTCTGAGTTGAAAACGGTGGGGTATAAGAAGGATAAGACGATTGTGGATGAGCAGGAGTTGCGGCGGTTGCAGCAGTTCTCGATTATGCAGCAGCACCGGGACGCCGCGTCCAAGCTGCCGCCAGAGGCCGCCGCCAGGCTGGTGGACGCCAGTTACACCTTATGTGAGTTTGGTGACGGTTGGGTAGGTCTGTCTCTGACTGTGTCTTGTTTCTAGCCCGTGATGTGCAAAGTCCGTCGAAGGTCTTGCTGAACTGGCTCTGGGGCCGGAGTACGCCTAAAGTAAATAACATATAGTCGAAAATGTGCCTAAATATTTTTAACATGTTGCGTGTAGCGTGATAAGGTTCAAATGGTTGTTGTACAGGAATTTTTGTAAAATTTGTAATATAAAACTGTCGGCATTTATTGTATAAATAATTGAAATGTGCTTTGAGCAATAAACTATTTATAGAACATCAATCGTGAAATTATGTCTAATTGCGCTATTTTTAAGTCAGCGGTTGCGGTTCGAGCCGGAAGTAGCGAGTTAATTGTTGTTTATGTAATTTGAAATATGTCTTGGATGACATATTTGCCAAACAAAGTTTAAATTTGCATAACGATTAGGTAATGAGTTGCGCCACCGCTTCCTAAACCTTTCAATTTATTAACCGTAATTAAGCACTAGACTCGAGGACCTCCACAAGTACCTCATCGCTTTTATCTTATCGCCTCGTTGACTACCATAAACCCAATCCCGTCCCGCTGACATTCCCGCACACGAATCCAATAAACATCCATCATTTTCTTCGCTGAATATTTTAATATAAGTCGCTGTTTACGCCCGATCTGTTTACCTCCTCTATAAAAGTAAGCAGCTAAATTGATCAATCTCATCACGGAAAGGCAGTCAAATGTAAACAACCCATACTAAAATATCCGCAATAAATTCATCCATCACACAGCCGCCTCAACCGGAACTCCCTGTATAACCAAGACCTCATAATTTATATAACCGCGATGCGCAGTTTTTAAAACCGTCTTCATTGCATAAGCGTTAACCCGAAGAGGCGGGCGTGAAAGCGAAAGTGCCGCTCGTGACCAATTCACCAAGTGAGTAAATTTGCAACTGCGACTTTGAGCGAGTCCGCCCCTGTCCGGCTAATTAATCGGCAATTACGACGAGGTCGATTAGCTGCTAACGACCATCGGAAGTCGTTACGGGAATCCTTTCGAGAGCTTTATGGCCCCGTGTTGACCGTGTGACGTCACGGCGGCCCATAAATTTGGCCCGTTTATTTGTAGTACGCTCCTGCGCTGCGCACAGGGGCGCGCGGTGTTGCCAAATCGCGCAATTTTGGGACCACAGAGGGAAAAAACGTGGCCTGCAACCACAGACCGCGCAAAATATAGAATCATAAAATTAAATTTAGATTTAAAAATCATGGATATTTAATAATTTACGAAAATTGTTTTTTAAACAAAATTATTTGTGAAGTTAGTTTATTAATTTATACTTAAGAGCGCTACTTCATTATTTTTATCTGATAAATATGAGAGGTGCATCGAACGATAACAAAACAGAGCTTCTGTATGTTGCACTAAACGATTTAAAATGAAATCACAGTCATAACCGTGATATTAATTTTATTGAGCGATTGTCAATCTTAATCAAATAAAGATTTCATTGATAATCACATCCTGATATTTTTTAGTCATTCAGGGTTGTTTATTTTTTGGCAACTGGTCTCTGCTTCGCCTTTACAATTTGGCAAGAATTGTTTTGAGTGAACTTTGACTTTACCCAATTTTGAATGTCAAATCGTGCAACGTTGTCACGTGTGCTGGTGATGAATTGTGTGTTCGGTGGATATTTAATTTGAAAAAGCAGTGTTTGTATTTTGCTTTGATTGGGTAAATATGTGGTGATTAGACATAAATGAGTGTCCTTTTTGGTGCGATTTTCGCCGTACTCGTTTCTTTTCCCTGTCGAGTTTGCGCGAGTTGCGCCGAAGCCTGTCCGAAAATCCAGTCGCTGCATCTGGCAACGCCGGTCTGTCATTCGTCAATCAAGTGTGCCGTGTTCGTCTGTCAATGCCTCCTGTCAACTTTCTAATCGGAACACATGTTTGAATTTTTTGCGACAGCCCCCGAGCAGCTCCCCGGCGCCGTTTGCCCAAGCAATTATGAAAATTAGGAGCGAATCCGTGAAAATCGCAAGGCAAACATCGGTGTTGACACAGCGGTAATGTTTGACTTAGATTACAAACATGTACTTCCTCATGACAAGGGTGTACTCCAACATATGCAGCATTCGGAATGGTAAGCCCAATGCAAACACCGAAGCGCCGCCTTATCTCGGCTTTGTTCCAGAATCCTCCAAGATAAAGATGTGCTCCTAACGAACGCGACTGCGATGGCGACCTCCGAGAAACGGCCCTCCTCGGTCAGCTACCGCTCGGAGGCGGAGCACCCCTCGGACGACGACAACGCCCAGCTCTCCCTCGACCCCAACCTGCAGATGTACCTGGCGCAGGTGTCGCAGCAGAGCGGCTGCTGGGGGCGCTTCGTGCCCATCCCGTTCGAGCGGGCGGCAAGGAAATCCTGGTGGGACCCCACGTTCGACTCCGAGATCCTCGAGGAGCAGTACAAGAGGAGCTCCAACCCGCACCAACGGATCAAGTTCAGGTGGGCGGCGGGACGGGGTCCAGAAAGGTGGTAACGTTTTGATGTGGGAAGTGCGGTTTATGGGGGTTTTATTACTAGTGCGTACGTCGAACATAAACAGCGGCGCAGATGGCGGGTGTTAAATTTACGACGACGACGCGATTTTCCTGGGGTGAAGTCGCTAGGAGCAGATCTGCATGGTAACAATGAACCAGTGGCGTATCTAAAGATACTTTCTAGTTTACTCATAGATATGTGGGGATGGCACGTGGCGTGCGTTATCAGGTCTTGAAACTAACACTGACCTCTGTTTACTAAACTATGGAGAAATCATCAATATTCAGTATTTGGTTGCTAATCTTTGCACATTTTGAACCTTTGTTAAGACGATTTGGCCTATTTAAATTTATTACGTAATAAACGACTTTTATTACACGTTGAAACCAAAATAGACACAGTTAATGATTTTCGAAAATGACGTCACCAATATTGTGGCGGGGATAACAAAGCAGTGGCAAATTTCAAAAATCTCGTAACCGTAAACTCGGTCTAAAGAATTTTTTGCGTTGTGTGTTTTAATTAGCCAACTGCGTACAGTTTTTTCTGGAACATAAACCGTCCAATAAAAAGTCGTTGCGGCCTTTTTCTGATATAAACAGTCTGATTCAGTCGTAATTTACAAGTCGCGGTGGTTTTAATTAAAGCAAATTGAATAGATAAGTGCTCATTAAAGAATTTGCACGAAAAATGTGGCTTATTTTTACACCCAAAGTAAATATTTAAAGAAGTTAATATTTTGTTTTAAAATAATTTAATTTATAACGTAAACTTTTTTCGATATTTAAGATTTTGGCTTCTGTGTTACTCGATTCCTTCGATGTTTTACCGTAAAAATTCCTTGTCGGGGCAAATCAATATCGTAAATCACATCAAGTAAGTTTTTACTAATTTATGTGCTTTCTGTGGACTTTGTGAAGTTTGCGACCGACCGTGATTGAATGTAGACGGTGTAAATTATGCAAGTTTAATTTTCCGCTGAATATCGACACGTTCGTGATAATAATAGACAATTGTGATTATTTTCGCGTTTTGTGTCTTGATGAATATTAATTTTGTGTACAGAATGTGGACAGAATGTTTACTTTGAATTTTTAAAACAATGGTATAATATACCTTTATCAAACCCAAAATAAACAACTTACGAGAAATTAAATTTGAGTTCATAGGCGGCTGTAAAATAATTTTATCGTTAATAAATGTATGTCTGTCTGCCGTCTGTGTCGATTTTTCTTAGACAGATGATCTCCAAAACTACCGGACCGATTGTTTTAAAATTGTACATAGTCAATGGGTTTTAAATTGTATAAAAACCATACTCCTACATGTGTAGTTTATGAATCCGAGTTGAGTTTCCAGATTTGTTTTATTATTATTTAAAAAAAACTATGTATAGTTAAAACATTGTTTAAGTATATTATAGTACCTTACGAAAGGGGGTAAAAATAGTCTGTAAGCACGTGATGTCGATAAGGTAGTAAACGGACGTATTAATCAGTATGTTGTACGGGGAGCAGTCACAAAATAAGCAAACGTGCGTGTTGAAGACTTTACATATATGTAATCTATGTATATGTAGTGCATACCTGTTTCATGTGTGTGGTAGCACGTATATTTGCACAAAAACAAATAAAGGTTAAGGTAATAAAAATTTAATATTATCGCGATACATTATCCATAAACGACCACCACTTTAATTAATAAGTAACAAGTCATTTAATTTGCCTCCAGAATAACTATGGGTTATCATCAAACTATGAACCCCAAATTAATTCAATATGAACATCTTCTTACGTATTTTTTTTATTAACAGTAGTCAAATCATTAAATACATATTATCTTTGAAACTAAAATGCATTTTATCACAAATTATTTACCACCATTTAAATATATACGATTTAGACATCAAGAAATAAATTTAAAATCGCAAAAATTAAATGTAGCAAACTTAAAACAGCCTTAAATGCGTCTTGTATGTACGTGCTTATCAATATGTAGGCATTTTAACGCACAGCAATAATCGTTCTTGATGAGTAATGACTGATGACTATTCTACTGTGACACAGTAAATCCTCGAAATCGAAAATTTAAAACATTGGAAAATTCAAATATGCGAAAATTGTAAAATCGAGAAATCGAAACAAAAAAATCAAAAAACCAAAAATTGGAAAATCTAAAATTTAAAAATCGAGAAATTGAACAGTCGGTTAATTCAAAAACCGAAACATGGAAAATTGTAAAATCGAAAAAAAAAATGGGACAATCGAAAATTTAAAAATTCCGAAAATTGAAAAATTGAAATATAGAAGAACTGAAAACTCAAAAAATCGAAAAAAATTAATAGTTTAAAAATTGAAAAGTTAAAATTGAGAAATCGAAAAACTGAAAAATCACAAAATTGAACGAAATATCCAAAAATTAGGAAATTAAAAAATTGAGAAACAGAAAAGTCAAAAAAGCAGAGTCGAAAAATCGCAAACTTAAAAAATCTAAAAATTGAAAAATCAAAAACCTGAATAATCGAAAAATTGAAGAACTGAAGAACTGAAAAATCGAAACTTTAGGATGTGGAGAAATGGGAATATAAAAAAATAGATTAATTGAGAAATCCGAAAACTAGAAATTCAGAAACGCCAAATTTGAAAAATAAAACAATATTAAGAACTGAAAAATCGAAAAATCTAATATTTAAAACATTGAAAAGTTAAAATATCCTAAAACTGAAAAATGGAGAAATCCAAACATCGACAATTCAAAAAAATAAAAATTCGAAAATCGAAAAACTGAAAAATCAACGAATCGAGAAGTTGAAAATTTAAAAAATTGGAAAATTGAAATATCGGATAAATCAAGAATCGAAACATTGTAAAATTCAAAAATTGAGACATCGAGAAATCGAAAAATCAAAAGACAAAAAAATCGAGGAGTCGAACAATCGAGAAGTCGAAAAATCGAAAAATTGAGAAACCGAAATAGGCCAAAATCGAAAAATCGAAAACTTAAATATGGAAAAATTGATAAAGCGAGAGATTGAATAATCAAAACATCGAAACATCCGAATCTCAATAAATTGAGATCTCAAAAAATTTAAAAATTCGTAAATTTGAAGAATTAAAATATAGAAGTGGAAACTCGAGAAACCGAAAAATCTAGAAATTTAAAAATTAAAATATGGAAAAGTTGAAAAATTGAGAAATTGAAATATAAAACAATCGGAAAATTGAAAAATCTAAAGTATAAAAAACGAAAAACTGAAAATCCAAAAGTAAAAGATAGAAAAATCTAGAAGTCGAAAAATCAAAGAATCGAAGTATTGAAAAATATCAAAACTGAACGAAATATCCAAAAATTGAGAAATCTAAAAACCAATAAAGCGAAGTCGAAAAATCGAAGAATTGAAGAACTGAAAAATCGAAACTTTGAGAAGTGGGAAAATCAAAAATAGATTAATTGAGAAATCCGAAAACTAAAAATTCAGAAACGCCAAATTTGAAAAATAAAACAATATTAAGAACTGAAAAATCGAAAAATCTAATATTTAAAACATTGAAAAGTTAAAATATCCTAAAATTGAAAAATGGAGAAATCCAAACATCGAAAATTCAAAAAAACAAAAATTGGAAAATCGAAAAACTGAAAAATCAGCGAATCGAGAAGTCGAAAATTTAAAAAATTGGAAAATTGAAATATCGGATAAATCAAAAATCGAAACATTGTAAAATTCAAAAATTGAGACATCGAGAAATCGAAAAATCAAAAGACAAAAAAATCGAGGAGTCGAACAATCGAGAAGTCGAAAAATCGAAAAATTGAGAAACCGAAATAGGCCAAAATCGAAAAATCGAAAACTTAAATATAGAAAAATTGATAAAGCGAGAGATTGAATAATCAAAACATCGAAACATCCGAATCTCAATAAATTGAGATCTCAAAAAATTTAAAAATTCGGAAATTTGAAGAATTAAAATATAGAAGTGGAAACTCGAGAAACCGAAAAATCTAGAAATTTAAAAATTAAAATATGGAAAAGTTGAAAAATTGAGAAATTGAAATATAAAATCGGAAAATTGAAAAATCTAAAGTATAAAAAACGAAACACTGAAAATCCAAAAATAAAAGATAGAAAAATCTAGAAGTCGAAAAATCAAAGAATCGAAGTATTGAAAAATATCAAAACTGAAAGAAATATCCAAAAATTGGGAAATCTAAAAACCAATAAAGCGAAGTCGAAAAATCGAAGAATTGAAGAACTGAAAAATCGAAACTTTGAGAATTGGGAAAATCAAAAATAGATTAATTGAGAAATCAGAAAACTGAAAATTTAACGCAAAAATTTGAAAAATTGAAAAATTTAAATACTGAAGAACTGAAAAGTCAAAAATCGAGAAATCGAAAAATCTAAAATTTAAAACATTGAATAATTAAAATATCGCAAAATTGAAGAATCGAGAAAACCAATTCAATTTGAAAAATTGAAAAATCGGGACATTGAAAAATTGGAAAATCCAGAAATTGAAAAGCTCAAAAGAAAAAAATCGAAAAACCGAGAAATCCAAAAATCTATACATAGAAAAATTCAAAAACTGAGACTTCGAGAAATCGAAAAATTGGAGGATCGAGAAATTGAGGAGTCGGAGGCCGAAAAGGAAAGTTAAAAATTGAAAAATTGAGAAATTGAACAATCAAAACCACGAAACATCTGAATTCGATAAATTGAGACATTAAAAAATTGAATAATCGAAAAATTTTAAAAAAGAAAAACTGGAAAATCGAAAATTAAAATTAAAAAAATCGAAAAATTGAAAAAATGAAATATTAAAACATCGAAAAGTTGAAAAATTGAGAAATCGAAGCATTAAACAGTCGCAGAATTGAAAAATCTAAAGTTTACAATAAATTGAAAATCCAAAAAGTAAAAAATCGAGAAATCAAAAAAATCCATCAATTCAAAAATCGAAAAGTCGAAAGATTGAAATATTGAAAAATCTCATAACTGAAAGAAATATTCAAAAAACTGAGAAATTAAAAAATTGGAAAATTGAGAAATCGAAAATCTAAAACAGCAAAATCGAAAAATCGTAATCTTAAAAAATCGAAAAATTGAAGAATTGAAGGTGTGAAAAATCGAAACTTTAGGAAGTTCAGAAATGGGCAAAAACTTTAGAAATCGACAAACTGAAAATTTAGAAACGTGAAAATTTGAAAAATTGAAAAATCGAATTATTTAAAACCGTAAAATTGAAGAGGACAAAAATTGAGAAATAGTATCATTGAAACATCGGAAGATTGAGAAATCGAAAAATAAAAAAATCGAGAAATAGAAAATTTGAAGAATGGAAGAATCGGAGAAACCCAAAATTGAAATATTGAAAAATTGAGAGATTTAAAGTTGAAAAATCGAGAAATCGACAAGCCGAAAAATCTCAATAGCGTATTTATAAATCAGGACTATGCTACTTTTTAAAATTTAAATAACATTATAAGTTGGAAAATGTTGATTTTTTTCCAAAAATCTTGATGTCTAAGGTGAAAACTAAAAAAATATAATAAACATTTCAAACAATGTCTGTAACTTATTTTAATGTAAATTATATTCATGTGGTTAACAAAATCAAATGTAATATTAGTGTGATTTTGACCTTATTCTAGATTTTATTACAGCAGAACGGCGTGTCCTTTTTAAATTTTAGAAGTTACGGAAACTAGTTCAAGAAACAATTAGTTATCTCGTATTTTTGAAATAAAATCTACCAAAACGTCGGATAACAGCAATTGATTTTCATTGAAACAAACAGTCTTCACAGCAATCTTTAACAACTCGATATTACAAACATGCCTCTTAAGTTCTTCATGCGGTTTTTTCTGTCTTGTAATTATTTGTAATGTCAACGCCGAAAGTTTATGTCATTCTGTTATTTACTTTGAATATATATTTTCATTTTGTGTTAATATTTTTGTAACACCACGAATCTAAATTTTACTTTAATCTTGTAAAACTAAACAATTATACCAGTTTAAAAACCCTTGGTAAGTTTCTGTCAGTCTTCAGATATAGTCAAATAAAAATAGGCGTCAAATTCATTTAAATACAATTCTTTCGTATCACGTTACAACGCGTTGCTTCATATTTTTTATGTCAAGTATATTTTCATATTTTGTACATATATGTTTATACACATTACTGTTTACGGAACAATGTTAATTATGGATTTATGGATAACTCCTCGTATAAGAGCAGAGTGAAGGGTGTTTGCCTTTGCTAATGTTTGATGGCGCCAAAATAAATCTAATACGTTGGCTCACTGTAGTGAAAATTTAGGCGAAGTAAAATTTGTATTAGGTTGTCCAACTATAATATACTTAAACAATGGTTAAGATAAGCAAGAGTGAGGAAAGCGCGATAATGCTGGTCTCGATTCGCAGGTACGCCCTCGGGTACATGTTACTAATTTCCTCCTCATGGCTCATCTACTTCCTCGTAACGGGCGTCATTTCCGAAACCGACCATTGGCCGACCCTCTGCATGGTACTCGGAGCCCTCATGCTGTCCGTAACAATCGTCCTCTTCATAACCTACACCGACATCTACAACAACCACATGTTGCTCATTTCATTAATCGTCGCCTTCGTCTTGTGCATTATAAGTTTATCGTTCATCGTCTTGGTACCAGTGAAGACAGACATAACCTCCGACATCAGTCCGGTGGGCCACTTCTCCATCTGCATCGAAATCCTGATGGTGATCTACACCCTCATCCCTCTCAAGCTCTACATGAGCATCGTGATCGGCCTCTTCTACTCGTCCGCCTTCGAAATCCTCACCGTCAGCCTGCAGAAGGAGCCCTTCGACGCCGCCACCATCACCGTCCGACTGCTCTCCCACCTCTGCATCCACCTGATCGGTCTGCACATCCTCGTCATGTCCAACGTGAGAATAAGGAACACCTTCATGAAAGTACGCACTTCCAACTCCATGTGTTCGGTAAACGTAGTGTACGTGGAAATTTCAGGTTGGCCAGAGTTTGCTCGTGCGACGCCAGCTCGAATCCGAGAAGAAGCTCAAAGAGAACATGATCCACTCCCTCATGCCGGCTAGCGTGGCCGAGTGGCTCCTCAACGAAGAAGAGACTTTCACCCGCAGCGACCAGCGCAACTCCGACCCCGAGACCAACGTCATACGGTCGATGTTCCGTCCCTTCAACATGAACCGCATGGAGAACGTGAGCATCCTGTTCGCCGACATCGTCGGCTTCACGAAGATGGCGAGCAAGAAAAGCGCCGAGGAGCTGGTGGAAATCCTGAACAACCTCTTCCAGCGGTTCGACCACCTGTGCAAGTTCCACAATTGCGAGAAGATCTCGACGCTGGGGGACTGCTACTACTGTGTGTCGGGGTGCCCGGAGCCGCGGCCGGACCACGCCAAGTGCTGCGTGGAGATGGGTTTAAGCATGATCCAAGCCATCAAGCAGTTCGACCAGGAGAAGAACGAAGGGGTGAACATGCGGGTGGGCGTGCACACGGGTACGGTGCTGTGCGGGATCGTGGGCACGAGGAGGTTCAAGTTCGACGTGTGGAGCAACGACGTCACGCTGGCGAATCGGATGGAGTCGACGGGCAAGCCGGGGATGGTGCACGTGTCGGAGAAGACGTGCGAGTTCCTCCAGGAGACGTACTTGCTCGAGGAGGGCGAGGCCGTCCTAGGTGAGCTGAAATATTAGTACGACGTGGTCATTAGTTAATTTTTGTGTGTACAGGCATGAAAACGTTTTTCATTTTGGGTCGGTGCGGCGACCGCACTCCCTCCTACACGGGCAGCTTTCGCGCCGAAGGCCGGCAGAAGTACACGAACTCGTTGCAGCTGTTCGTCTCGCCGCCGACATCGTCACCTTCTATGTCTCCCCAGTCCAGGCCGCGCGTCCTCTCCTGCGACACCACTCACATTAAAGCCACGCACAACCCGAACATGCTATCGCCGGACGTGTGCAAGATCAAAGCCAGCAGCTTACCGAGCATCCTCGACTCGGAGAACGAACAAGACGGCGATGCGTGCAAGGAAACCTCAGACTGTGATAATATTAAAACGCCAACATCGACCGCCAGTTCCGGCAAATACACCGTCAAACTGAAGAGCTGGAAGATGCCGAAATTCCTGCGGAAGCACGAAGGGAAGGACGTGGAAGTAGAACAGGTAGGGGTCGTAAGACTTGTGTAGGCAACCGGGCTTCAAAACTGTTGACAGCAAGGACTGCCAACCGAAGTTGAAAAAATTCACCAACTGTTCTATAAACCATGGCCAACTAAGATCTGACGTCCACTCACGGGATATCAATGTACTTAGAAATAATTGAGAAAAGTATTGTGTAAAATGACCATTTCCCGGAACCAAAGACCTTTAAGAGATTTATAAACTTGCTGTTGACGTTGAAGTTCCCGTTGCAGTTGCTGTTTCCGTTCCCGCTGACGTTGCTTTTAGAGCTGAAACTTGTCATTTATAAACGCTGTTGTCAAGTTGCCGTTGATAGTAACTTTCATTTTCAATTTTTGCCTTATTTACATACATGGGTTGTAGAAGAAAAGTGGAGAATTTAAGTTGATTACTACAAAAATTGGCATGTCTTAAGTTTCTTGTTATCGAAATAAGTCTACACATATTAAGAAAAAAAGTCAAAATGTAGCCCCGCCCACCCGCCCTATCCCAATTGTGATGATTTTTTTTTAATCGTCGAGAGTCAAACGACCGGAATTTAATTGCAAAATCCATATTTCCTTAGAAAAATTTACCATTTTAAATGTGTTTCAAGTTTCTAAGAATTAAAAAAATCATCACTATTGCGATAGGGTGGGTGGGCGGGGTATATATTTTGCCTGTTTTTCTTAATATACATAGTATTTTTTGAACAATACGATACTCAGAAACATGTTTTTAATCTCTTGTAAAGAAATAAGTATTTTGCAGTTAACCTGGTTGGTTCACGGCGAATAAGAAAAATCATAACAATGGAGACAGGGCGGGTGGGCGGGCTTACTTTTTGCCTTTTTGTTTTACTGTGTGTAGACTTCTTTTGACAACATGAAACTTAAAACATGTATAAAATGGAAAATTTGTATAAAGAAATATCGATTTTGCAATTAAGCTGTGCCCCATAATTGCAAAATCCATATTTCCTTGCAAAAATTTACCAATTTAACCATGTTGTAAGTTTCTTCTTGTGAAAATATGGCTATGTATATTAAGAAAAAAAAAGCAAAATATAAGCCCCACCCACCCGCCCTATCTCAATTCTGATGATTTTTTTTTATTCGTCGTAAGCCGAGGGGCGGAGATTAATTGTAAAATCCTTATTTTTCTACGAGAAATTACTGTATGAAATATGTTCTTAAGTAATCGTGTTATACAAAGAAAACTGAATGTATTAATTAAAAAAGAAAAACCAAAAGAGACGCCCCACCCATCCGTCTCGATCTCAATCGTGATGCCTTTTTCATTCGTGTTCAGACCGAGGGGCGGAGCGTAATAATTGCAAAAACGATATTTCCCTATACAAATTTACCATTTTAAACATGTTTTAAATTTCTTGTTGCGAGAAGATGGCTACACAAACATATTAAGAAAAAAAAAACAAAATATAATCCCCGCCTACTCTCAATTGTGATGATTTTTTTTATTCGTTGTGAGCCAAGGAGGCGGAGCTTAATTGCAAAACCCTCATTGTTCTATAAGAAATAAAAAACATGTTTTTGAGTATCATGTTATTCAAAGAATACTACGTGTATTAAGGAAAAAACAAGCCAAAAATTAAGCCCCATCCATATCCATCCCAAGCTCAATTGTGATGAATTTTTCGTTCGTTGTCAGACCGAGGGGCGGAGCGCAATTGCAAAATCGATATTTCCCTATACAAATTTACCATTTTAAACGTGTTTTACGTTTCTAAAAATTAAAAAATCATCACAATTGAGATGGGGTGGGTGGGCGGGGTTTATATTTTGGACAACACGATACTCAAAAGCATGTTTGTGATTTTTTGTAAAGAAATAATTTGCAGTTAAGCTCGGCTCCCATTGGTTCACGGCGAATAAATAAAATCATCACAATAGAGATGGGGCGGGTGGGCGGGCTTACATTTTTTCTTTTTGTTTTAATATGTGTACACTTCTTTTCACAACATGAAACTTAAAACATATTTAGAATGGAAATTTTGTATAAGGAAATATGGATTTTGGAATTAGTATCCGCCCAAGAATTGCAAAATTCATATTTCCTTGCAAAAATGTACCATTTTAACCATGTTCTAAGTTTCTTCTTGTGAAAAGATGGCTATGTAAATTAAGAAAGAAAAATCAAAATATAAGCCCCACCCACCCGCCCTATCTCAATTCGGATGATTCTTTTTATTCGTCGTAAGCCGAGGGGCGGAGATTAATTGTAAAATACTTATTTTTCTACTAGAAATTACGATGTGGAATATGTTTTTCAGTAATCGTGTTATACAAAGAAAACTAAATGTATTAATTAAAAATTAAGACCAAAAGAGAAGCTCCACCCATCCGTTTCGATCTCAATCGTGGTGAATTTTTCATTCGTTGTCAGATCGAGGGGCGGAGCGTAATTGCAAAATCGATATTTCCCTATACAAATTACCATTTTAAACATGTTTCATGTTGTGAAAAGAAATCTACACATATTAAAACAAAAAGGGAAAAAGTAAACCCGCCCACCCGCCCTATCTCAATTGTGACGATTTTTTTTTTATTCATCGTGAGCCAAGAAGGAGGAGCTTAACTGCAAAATCCGTATTTCTTTACGAGAAATTACTACGTATGTCTTAAGAAAAAAAGCAATATATAAGCCCCGCCCACCCGCTCTACCTCAATTCTGATGATTTTTTTTTATTCAGCCAAAAAGCCAAATATTAAGTCCCACCCATATTCATCCCAAGCTCAATTGTGATGAATTTTTCATTCGTTGGCAGACCTAGGGGCGGAGACTAATTGCAAGATCCGTAGTTTCTTTCAAAAATTTACCAGTTTAAAAGTGTTTTGAGTTTCTAAGAATAAAAAAAATCATGACAATTGAGGTGGGGTGGGTGAGTGGGGTTTATATTTTTTGTTTTTTTTCTTAATATACGTAGTAACTTCTCGGTTTTTTAATTTTACGTTTAAAATTTTTTATTTTTCGATTTTTCAATTTTTATATTTCTCGATTTTTTGACTTTCCGAATTTTCGACTTCTCGAACTTTTGATGTTTCAATTATTCAATTGAAGAATCCATAACTTGAAAAATCCCAAAACGGGAACATCGAAAAATTGAAAAATCGAGAATTCGAAAAATAATTATATATCTGCGAGTTTGATTCTTCGATTTTGGGCTATTTCGATTTTTCAATTGTTCGATTTCTCGACTTATCGACATTTCTATTTCTTGATGTTTCTTTTCTTCAATTGAAGAATCCATAAATTGAAGAATTGAAAAACTGAAAAATCGAAACATTGAAAAGTCGAGAAATCGGAAAATGGGAAAAAAATCGAAAAGTCGTAACGTCGAGAAATCCAAAAGTTGAAAAATCAAAAATCGATTAATTGAGAAATTTAGAAACGTAAAAATTCCAAAATTGAAAGATCTAAAAATGAAAAATCGAAAAACTGGGAATTTCTGGGTTCCTCAATTTTTCAATTTTTTTATTTTTAAGTTCTTCGATACTTCTATTTGATTTTCGAATTTTTAAATTTAAGATTTTTGAACTTCTCGGTTCAAGATTTTTCGGTTTTTTAATTTTTCGTTTAAAATTATTGATTTTTCAATTTTTGGATTTCTCCATTTATCAAAATTACAGTTTTTCGACATATTGATGAATCGGTTTTTTCAGTTTTAAATTTTTCGAGTTTTCTGACTTTTTGATTTCTTCAACTTTTCAATGTTTTAGTTTTTCATTGGAAGAATCCATAACTTGAAAAATCCCAAAACAGGGACATCGAAAAATCTATAAAGTATATCTACGATTTTGATTTTTCCATTTCTCAATTTTTTGATTTTTCGACTTATCGATATTTCAATTTCTCGATGTTTTAATTTTTCAGTTGAAGAATCCATAATTGAAAAACTGAAAAATCGGGAAATCGAAACATTGAAAAGTCGAGAAATCGAAAAATGGGAAAATAAAAAAATCCAAAAGTCGTAACGTTGAGAAATCCCGAAGTGGAAAAATAAAAAAATCGATTAATTGAGAAATTTAGAATTTAGAAACGTAAAAATTCCAAAATTGAAAAATCGAAAATTAGAAGAATCGAACAATTGCAAAATGCCAACACTAAAATATTGAAAAAATGAGAAATCGAAAGTTTAAAATCAAAAAATCCAACATTCGAAACATTAAAAAATTGAAAAATTATTATACAATTTTGATTTTTTTCCTGTGCAGACTTTTTTTCACAACATGAAACTTAATACATGTTTAAAGTGGAAGTTTTGTATAAGGAAATTTGCAATTAGGCTCCGCCCCATAATTGCAAAATCCATATTTCTTTGCAAAAATGTACCATTTTAACCATGTTGAAAGTTTCTTGTTGTGAAAATATGGATATGTATATTAAAAGCCAACCAAGCTCAATTGTGATGAATTTTTCATTCGTTGGCAGACCTAGGGGCGGAGACTAATTGCAAGATCCGTAGTTTCTTTCAAAAATTTACAAGTTTAAACGTGTTTTAAGTTTCTAAGAATCAAAAAAATAATGCTAATTGAGGTGGGGTGGGTGGGCGGGGTTTATATTTTGGCTTTTTTTCTTAATATACGTAGTAACTTCTCGGTTTTTTAATTTTACGTTTAAATTTTTTTATTTTTCGATTTTTCAATTTTTCGATTTTTCGACTTTTCGAATTTTCGACTTCTCGAACTTTTGATGTTTCAATTATTCAGTTGAAGAATCCATAACTTGAAAAATCCCAAAACGGGAACATCGAAAAATTGAAAAATCGAGGATTCGAAAAGTAGTTATATATCTACGAGTTTGATTCTTCGATTTTGAGCTGTTTCGATTTTTCAATTTTTCGATTTTTCGACTTATCGACATTTCTATTTCTTGATGTTTCAATTTATCAATTGAAGAATCCATAAATTGAAGAATTGAAAAACTGAAAAACCGAAACATTGAAAAATCGAGAATTCGAAAAATAGTTATATATCTACGAA